GGCAGTGTATAACCTTCCTTTTTTACCAAAAATCGACTACACCAAAATTTCTCGGGAAAACACTTTTTCTGATTAATTTTGGTGCGTAGAATCCAAAACAATTCGTACTTTTTCGATCAGACTTCTCAATAATAAGTTATTGACTAGAAAAAAAACCAATTTCGAAAGAAAATTCAAAGGGCTGTAACTTTTGAACTAGTAGCCCAATCTTGGAACTGTTTGAAATTATGAATTCTACAGGCCACATTCTATAAGAAAATTTTTTTTCCGGGTCGATCTGAGACAATTTTTTTTTCGGGGCTCAAAAAAATGCAGTGTATAACCTTCCTTTTTTACCAAAAATCGACTACACCAAAATTTCTCGGGAAACACTTTTTCTTATTAATTTGGGTGCGTAGAATCCAAATCAATTCGTACTTTTTCGATCAGACTTCTCAATCAAAAGTTATAGACTAGAAACCAATTTCGAAAAAAAAATCAAAGGGCTGTAACTTTTGAACTAGTAGCCCAATCTTGGAACTGTTTGAAATTATGGATTCTACAGGCCACATTCTATAAGAAAATTTTTTTCCGGGTCGATCTAAGACAATTTTTTTTCGGAGCTCAAAAAAAGGCAGTGTATAACCTTCCTTTTTTACCAAAAATCGACTGCACCAAAATTTCTCGGGAAAACACTTTTCTTATTAATTTTGGTGCGTAGAATCCAAAACAATTCGTACTTTTTCGATCAGACTTCTCAATCAAAAGTTATAGACTAGAAACTAGGGAATGCAATACCGGGATTGCGGGATCCCGAAATACCGGGATCCCGCAGCATTTTTGCGAGATTAATCCCGCACATAAATGGAGCGGGATCCCGCGGGATTTGCGGGACTGAGGAATTTGTCGACCAAGGGGACGACTCTGTTTACTTTGTTAATGAAACTGATAACGGCGAATTATTTTTTAAATAATTGTTAAACTTTTTTCGTTAAAAATGTACTATGATTTTTGAGGCACTTTAGAAGACTTTTTGTGCTTTACAGGTAAGGTTTTTTTGAGTTCTAAGTTAGGCCGAAGGTACTTTTTTGTTAAATATTGTGATAATTAGTGATTTATTTTAATACAGAAGTTAACCGCACAGAATTGCTTATTTGCCAATTTATTTAAAGTTTTGCGAGAGCCCGCAAATACCGGGATCCCGCGGGATTAACATCTAACAATCCCGCAAATACCGGGATTGAGATTTTGCTGCGGGATTGCATTCCCTAGAGCCTAGTGATTTTTTTGTAAATTTTCTTAATTTTGTAACGATATGTACGTTGTCTTGCGTCACATAGAAGCATAAATGTATTTTTTTTAATTTCGCATAGTGCTAATCGAAAACTCACGACGAACGTGAAGTTGCCAATTACCTAGGAAATCGCAAAGCTCAATGACTACTGCCAATGGTATATTTTTGATAATCAATAACTCACCCCGTATAAATTCATTGTTAGGTATTTTGGACGAAATGTTTAGCTATTCATGTTGAGGTGATATTCAAATGAGAAGAATCCCGAAAGATATAGAATACAATACCTACTCGGTTTTATGTACAAAGAATAAAACATGAACCTTTGAAAGTGGATATTGTTCCTGCAGAGATTTCTTACTATTTTGCTTTTGGTTAGACAGCCTCCACGTCTCGTATCGAATTCTTTGTTTCAAGGTGTGATTATTAAAATTACTACCTCATTAGAGTGGTTTTCTTAAATGAGTGAGATACAGGAAATGCAATTTAAACAAAAGCAACGGAGCATTTCAGTCCTGCAACCAAACGCAACGTGCCTATTCTTTTAATTGAAACTGAATTTCATATATTTATTCATCCTGGGTTTCATTATTTTTGCATCTAAATACCTAGTGCTACTGTAACCATCAATATACCATTAAATTACAATGTATTATTCACCCTAATCCCTTCTGTAGATTAATGTAGCTTGTGAATTATGGAAAGTGAAAAAGCTTTTCCACTCATTTGTTTAGTTCAACGTGGCATAGTGTTCCTGTCTTGTCGGTTAACTGTCGTAAAATGAACTACAAATTGTCAGTCACTTTCCTTTGACATAATCTATTAAATTTTAACAAAAGAATTTTTGTAGTAATTCATGCGGTTAATGAAAGGGTGGAAATTATTGTGACTGTAAAAGCTTCAATTTCACAACTAGCCGATCGACCCGGTTTTTCGACTGCATTACGATTAGGTACTCTGGAGCGATGTAAATACATGATACTACGTGTAGTCTTGGCTATTTACAGAACCATCATCCTGTACTGCTCCAATTTTAGTTAATAATTAAAAAATTAATACGCGCACAACTGTTCTTTCCTGGCTCATTGGATCTTAGGTGTATACAATGTAGAACATAAGAATTTAGAGGTCGGTATTACCCGTTCTTCCCCTACTTGTTCGGAACTGTTCATTTAAAGTGTGTAGGACATTATTGCGCATCTTTATTTTATAGAAAAATGTATATGTTAAGAGAGGTGGTAATGGAATGCGACCACCTTGAGAGACTGGTAGTGACTTTTTAATGAGTCAATTAGATGATTTTTAGAGACTTCATTTATGACTACGGAAGCAAATGTGTACAGCGAGCGAATTTTTCATTACGCGTTAAAGAAAAACTGCGTCAGATTCATGGTGAATTAACTAAATCGCGAGAGATTTAATAAACCCCATCCAGTGGGGAAATAAGAACTAAAACTGTCAATATTTTGACATTAACTTCAATCGCTTTCATTGCTAGAGACGTAATGGTAACCACCAATCAGTGAACGTGGATACTGAGGACACTAACAAAGTTCATTAAACAGAGTTTAAATTTTCACTTACACGTGAAATTAACCACCGAAATCGAGTCATTGTAATCAAAGAAAAAATTCCCTTTGAAGTAATACCCCTTACCAGTATTGGCGGCCATTTTGTGTTGTTTTTATTTTGATGGGGAGGTGGAAAAGAGTTTTGTAGTAAGATTCAGAAAAGCAAAAGAAAAACTAAGGTAACAATTTAGTAAAGAAGTGGATAGCAGACGGAAAACAATTTGGTACAGTTTTAGTTCAGAATTTGAAAAGGCTTCGTCGAGGCTCTATAAACGCCAGCGCATTCTCGAAAGTGACATTTTTTGATTTTTTGCCCATTGCTTCGCTATTTGTAGCGCAATAAAAATTTTTGAAAGGGAAAATTAATCAACATTTAAGCGACTTTGCAGCTCTTCCGGTTTACGAGATTGCAATAGTGAAAGTGAAAAAAAAGTCACCCCGTATATTGGAACAAATTAACCTACTAGTAAATTGGGTATTTGGTACATTATTTGGGTTTCTAATATTTACTACTAAATTATAACACTACTAAGTAAGAACAAATATTTAAACAAGAATTAGGACCAACCAGAGCCACATAAAATAAAAAAGTCCCCCAGGTACGATCATGAAATAAATAAAAATGACTAGAAGGCACCTTAATTAAGCGTTTGCAACACACAAACAGAAAACAGAAACTCTTAGTCTTATGAAAATTAGCTGTCACTTCAGATTTTTCAATTTCACCAACTTAAGAATGACGAAATATAAGTAACATAACCCCAAATTTCTGCGAAATGAAGTGAACTTTTAATTAAGATTCTGGAAAATTCAGGGCGTCTCCCGCAAATTTTTCTGTTGAAAACGCTTAATTAAGATACCCTCTATCCATTTTTTTTACAATTTTATCATCGTATCTGGGGAGCTTATCAACGTAACGTAACGTGCATGTGAAGCTCCCTATTTAAAAAATATTTTGCAATTGTAATTAGAATTCTGGAGGCCATGAAGAATCAGAAATTTCCTTAGACCAAAACTACCAATACATCCCCAATGACAATGGTTAAAAAAAGAAAATTGGTTCTTGCAACCTCAAACAACATTAAGAAAATTTCTAGAACCTTAAGAGTAGCATCATCCAACGTCCTATTTAAATAATTTAAAGGGTTATAGGAAATTCTAATCAGGACTCAAATTTTGCATCAAAAAATTACTTTTTAAATGCAAGGTTTACCATAAAATCCGATTACGGAAAGTTTCAGAACTATCGAGAGGCGATTGTGTTTCTAATGAAGTTTTGGCTAGCGACTCATAATAAGTAGTTTTTTGTACCAAATAAGTTCTTAATTATTTACAGTTTTACGGAGGAGTTTTCCGTTAAAAACTGATGGTACCCAAGTTTAATGTTCCAAATATTAAGATTTTTTTGCAACTATCTAAAACTTTCCGGACAAGAGAGCACAGGGGTTGAAAAAGGAAGGAAAATGCCTTATTCTCTTTTGCATGGATGCCTACTTATTAAATTTTAATTTCGAGAATAACACTCAAATTATTTCTACAGATGATTATAAGCATTGTTAAGAACCGAAGAAAATGCTAAAATGCTCTTGTGAGACAATTCATATTTTCCTAATGGGGAGTGGGGAGCAAATACGATTATCTAAATAGTTACCCCAATGTGATTTTCCAAGAGTTTAATTGCAATTGGCATGTTACGTAAATTAAAAGCCCTTGCGTGTATTCAACGTGACTACTTGTTACGAATACAGCTTCTCTCATGGCGCAACGTATGAACCACTTTATGAATTACTATTTTGGTTAATGAACTTTTTATTGACCACTTCTTGTTCTTTGCAACCTAGAAACTTTATTCAATTTATATAAGCCATCAAGTAAGAAGTGTGTAATTATAGAGCGACAAGGAGATATCAAAAAATTCTATTTCTAACTGAAGGTGATTCAAGTTTGATGGTAAATTCGGGCTTCGTTAGTAATTCAGTACATGTGATGAAGGTACAGCTAACAGACTGAACCTTTGCCAGTCATTATTCTATTTTCTCTTGTATACCAATGGATTTATAAACTTCACCTTATATACTACCTAGTACTTATGACCTTTGAGGTTTAGATAATGCATTGCACGTATTACAAAATAAGCACAGAAAAAGCATACTCACACTACAGAAGAAATGGATTGTATCTTCGTTTCAGTACTCTTTTCAGACTCTTGTATTTTATTTCTGGAGTCGTGCGGGTTGAAGGAAGCCACAAGGCAGTGAAATAAAGATAGAATAGAAGAAAATGTAGAAGACAAACACAAAACATTTAATAGGACGTACAGAAGAGTTGAGAATGTTCACCGAAAGCCAATTAATTCGTAAAAAAATTGAATTTATAATCTACTCTCGGTAAACCAATGAGAGTTCCCTGTGCAAAATTAAATTACACGTTTTAATCGCCTTTATTTATGAAAACGGTGCATTATAAATTTTTGGGAAACGTGCCGCGAATGTCGTGTTTTATGCTTTTAGTATATCGTGAAAAATTCGCTTCTCTATTTTTGCACAGGAGAAATAGTAATTCGAAATTTACAGGTGAAACAATTAAGCCGGGGATTGCATTAGAAATTGTAACTTACGGTGGAGGACTAGGCAAAGGTATTTGATGTATTTTCCAAGTTGCTATCGAAATTGAATGCTCATCAGCCGCATAGCATCGCCATAACGATTGAATTAGCATCGCCGCCGGTTGTCTCCGTCTGATCATGTGTTTTTGGCGTTGTTGTTGTTGAACTTTTAAAGCGAATCCTGATCCTAGAATACCCTAAAACTATCATCTTCAAATATTCGAGTAACCTGTATTGGAAGTTACCAACCGCTGGTAATGCAAAAAACGAAATTCCCAATAGTGCGCAAAATGATGCGATTATTTTACCCTGCCACGTTTCTGGAACCATATCTCCATACCCTACCGTGCAAAGTGTTATCTAAAAATGATTTTGAACCTCATTGTAACTAAACCCGTTTTACTTACAACACCCCACCATAGCGCTTGAGCAAAATTAGAAAACTTTCTATTAACGTCTTTTTCGGCTAAATATACTAAAAATGACGCAAAAATTAACCCTAAAAACCCGATGTATAAAGTTGTAATTAACTCCTAAAAAATATACGTTTCTTACAAGCACCATTACTGATTCGAGCTCGCTTGCCTGTCTGTGAGCGTATACTACTGAACCCAGAAGCTTCCAAGTTCCTCCTCGTCTGTCCATTCTCACCATGCGCAATATTTGAAAGAAACGGAGACCTCGAAGAGCACTTGCAGCAAAAACTTGCCCGCTAGAACCCATAGCAAGTACCACATACGAGGCAGCTATTGTTACTACGTCTACAATTGTTGCCGTTGAAAGCTGCTATAGCGTTTTTAGTTACTTACCTATTATACAAAACGGTCTTCTGAGGAATTTAAGGCGACCCATTGGACCTTGATAACGAGATCGGCATCCCGAAGACCACAGTCTGAAAGAAATCGAAATGAAGTAGGTTAGCATATTGTATTACATCGCCAAGAAGTTTTTTTAATCCCTATACTACATATATTCATTTTTTTTTAATTTTTTTTTTTCTTAAAGGCCCTAACGGGATCAAGCCCATGATAGCCCTACCTGTTTAACAATAAGGATTTAACACTAGCCACATAGACTTCACGCAAAGGGGCCTGTCAATGCGACTTACACAGACAACACAATGCACTAGACCACGGTTCGGTAATTAGGTACTATAACAAAGGGCAAGACAAGAGGAGCAAAACAATTAGGAGTTGTAATTAAATGTTGATCTGAGTTTGTCTCAAGAAGTGTATTATAACATCAAAGACATTTTTGTCATCGGCAGCCAAAAGACTAACGATGTCGGTGGGTACAGACCCATTCTCACCAGTTTTGCAAGTCTGCATTTGGTTAAGTTGACATCCAAAAAATATATGATTGAGATCCGCCATCTCACTCCCGCACCTACATACAGGTGACTCTATAATGCCTATTTTATATAAATGGGCAGGGTAAAGATCGTGACCGAACTTGAGCCTAGCGATGGTAGAAAAATACTGGCGACCTACAGAAAAATCCCGAACCCAGTGCCTTTTTATTAATGCGGGTTGAATTTTGGCATATTGAGTAGTATGTGTGCGATAAGAATTAATCCATTGCAGTTCCCATTTTTGTTTTATCAGAGAGTTTTTAATTACCAGGTACAGATCTCGTTTGGTTAGTTTATTATTGAGAATATCCTTCCTTTCAAGTCCTAATTTGGCCAACCTGTCTGCTTCTTCATTTCCTGCAATGTTGCTGTGGCTCTTCACCCACTGCAGCTCAACATTTATAGATTTGGCTCTAAGGTTTCGTAACACGATCATAATATCTATAATAACGGGGTTGGATTTAGCCTTACATATCTTTGCATTTATTGCTTGAAGTGCGCTATGAGAGTCCGTGAAGATGACCACCTTATTGCAGAGTTGGAGGGAGGCATATTTTAAGGCTTCGAGTATAGCCACACATTCGGCATGATAGACAGAAGACAGTTTATTTAATCTAAAGGAAACTCTAAAATTCTGTGTCGCCTCAAAAAAGGCACCAGCGCATCCATCTGAAGATTTGGATAAAATAATAAGCTGCCAGCTTTTCCTGCAATAATGGAGTTATGTAGACGAGTGTTATAGTCTCCGTGGTCAAGATAAATAGGATACTGTATGGAAGGTTTTAAAATAGTATCACTGTATTTTAAGTTAACGAGATCTGGGAAATAAAGTTCCTGATTTAATGTAATAGGCTATGTTTGCAAAAGCGGAAGCTAGCGGTGGCGATTTCTTTTTGGACCAGTATTTGTTGACAAGATCTAAATTACACAGTTCAGAAACTTTGTCCAATAATTGATTGTTGGAGAACTTTAACTTAACGATATATTTTAGGGCTAAGTATTCTATTCGAAGTTCTAGCGGCGGTTCTTGTGCCTCTACCTGCAGCGCTAATATAGGTGTAGATCGCATCCCCCCGACGCATATACGAAGTGCTTTGTTTACTACTGTTGTTAACTGTTTCAATAGTGTATTTCGCGCCGAACCGTAGAGGTGACAGCCGTAGTCAATAAGCGGTCGCAGATAGGCTCTAAACATATTTATCGTAGTGAAGTAATCGGCTCCCCAACTAACTTTCGTTGACAATCTTAATAGGTTTAAGGCTTTTTCGCACTTTTTAACTGTGGCCATGATGTGATATCTCCAGTTAAGCTTAATTTTTATTATTATTATTTATTATTATTATTATGTCTATTAGTAGACCGAGGTATTTAAAATGTGTGACAATGGGGAAGGTAGTGTTGCTTAGTTGAATTGAACCCGTAGGGGTATCTCTCTGCCTTGCTATAAACATGACTGCCGACTTAACAAAACTGATTTTGAACCCGTTCTCATTACACCATTCTTGAAAAAGTTTTGAACCCTCATCCATGGCTTGAGTTAGATCAGCCATATTATTTTTTGAAAAATACAAACAAAAGTCATCAGCATATTGGATTATTTTGCCCACTTTGTTAACAATGTTGTGCAAATCTGCAGTATATAGATTAAAAAGTAATGGTGACAGGATGGATCCTTGTGGTAAGCCTTGCCAAATCGTTCTAGGGCCGAATTTGTGGTTTTGGTATGATCTTACGTATACTTGCCTTCCGTCAAACAGGTTCATTAAATTACGAGCGAAATGTGATGGAAAAGCCAAGTTGATCAGTTTACGTTCTAATATATCCAGATCCACGCAGTTATAAGCATCTGTGAGGTCGTAGAATATTGTAAATATTGTCTTGTCACCAATATGAATAAATTGTTATTTTTAAGAACCACACACAATCCGCTTTTGTTGTATCTTCAACGACGCAAAGAAGATCATATTTGCTTTATATTCATTTAATAAAGCAAATATGATCTTCTTTGCGTCGTTGAAGATACAACAAAAGCGGATTTTACGTTATTTCCATAACAGTTTTGGATTATAAAAAATATTTTCTCAGGAAAGTGGCAAACTGTGCGGAGTACTGAAGCCTATTTTCCTTTGTAACGAGACCATTCTTTATTTGAATTTTTTTCTTTTCTTCTCGCAAACAGTTTATCTTTCCGATTTGAAAGTAAATAAAACTGCCAATGTAGGCATATATAGGGAAAGGTAAAATAATACACAGGGTGTTAGTGAATAAGTGCAACAAACTCCAGGGGCTTTTTCATAGGAGGCCCCGTTTTTATGAAAAAATATGAACACAAAGTTCTTAATTACACGTCAACAAATGCGCAATAACCACCTCTTAAAACCAACCCAATTTCATTTGCATTTCTCGACCGGTTTCAGAGCAATAAATAAATAGCCTGTACACCATGTATATCGAAAAGCGAAGCATTTGCGGACAAAAGTTATATAGCAAACTGTCATTATTCTTTCATGCAAAATAACCCCCTTAAGTTTTTTGCACTTAATCACTAACACCCTGTATATAGGTAATAAGGAACTAGTTCATCTTACGATGACATAAAGTAGAAAAATTCATAATTTCGGCCAACTTCACTGAGACGGGACTTTCCCAATTATATGTAACAATTTTCCAAAATTCTTACACCTAGAGCGCGCACCTTGAAATTCTGATACTGATTTTGACAAAAAATTTAAAATTCTAAAGGGTATACCAAAAAACCTACGTAAAGACATTAACTCCATCCTCCTATAAGTTTTATATAAAATAACAAAAAAAAGTAAATTTTGTGGGCGGTGGTGGTGCTTTGGTTCCTTCCCCCGCAACATTTTTTTTACATACTCATTCTGTACTCTAAGCCACCACTTCAGATCTTCATTCTTAATATGAAGACATGAAATATGAAGAGATGACGCACGAATCAGCACAAAATGAAGACAAATGAATGCGTACTTAAAAGAAAACTGATATTGATGTATGAAAACTAATTGTATTTTTTAATGCCTGATACTGAAACAGTAAATAATTTGGGACTAACACTTGATGATCAACTTCGGTTTAGAGCTCATGTGAGCAAAATGGTTCAAAATGCGTTCTTGTCTTTAAAATGTATATATATAATATTAGACACACTCTTAATAATAATTTTAAAAAGTTACTATGTGAGACTTTAGTTTTGTCAAAATTTAATTACTGTGACTATATACGGCCCGTGTCTAGATTGTGTAACTAGCAGACGTATTCAAAGGTTGCAGAATTCCTGTATCCGTTTGGTGTATGGAGTGAGAAAGTTTGATTCACATAAATTTCAGGAATCTGGGTGGTTAAACATGGCAAATAGAAGGCACTTGCATAGGGATACATTTGTACACAAATTCTTAAGCAACAATACTACATTTAAGTTGAAGTCCAAATTCAATTTAAGACACAGTACTCACTCGCACAATACTACTATAGGCATAATGCACAATTTACAATTCCGCACAGCACCGGACCGCTTTGTATAAAAGATCATTTATTTATAATGCCGTAAAATTAGTTAAGTTATTGACGAATTTAAGATATTTAATATCAATAAGTTCAAATTTGAACTTAAACAATACTTTTTGAATTTGCAGCGTGTGAATCACTAGCCACACTTGAGATCTAACTTTCATTCCTTACTTATCTTTCAGCTAGTTGTTTGGTCGTTGAAATATTGATATATTTTTGTTTCTCATTTTTGCTTAGTTATGCCATTAATTTAATTTCAGTTTAATTTATGTTTAGAGGACGAGTATCGTAGGTTAAGTAGAGTAGCCTGACTTGTCTAGACTTCGCCTATTATATCTCCCTTAATCCTCCTTAAAATGAATTATGTTTCTTTTCCTTCTAATTGTATAAACAAATAAAGACCTTATTATAAGGAGTAATTTTACCTGTGCCTGAGTTACGATCTATATCTTACTGTCTTTAATGAAATATGGGATCCTACAGACAACAGCAGGCCTTGATTTTTAGAAATTCCGTATCATTAAAATGAAAGAGACGCACAAATCAGCATACAAAATTGATTCTTTCAAAACTTCTATCGACGTGAGGTGGAACACCTAGTAAAGTTTATTGTAAATCTCACAAACAAATATGTTTTCACACATGAAATTACAAATAACCGACGTTTTTCGTACACAAAAACTAACAGGATCGATGAAAGGAGCTATTGAAATGTATTTCAGCTTTAATGTAAACAGAGTACTATATGCAGTAGGTAACAAACTCTGTACTTTAATCAAGAACCAAGAGGTAGAGTGGAATTAATTGATGGTGTTCATAATCGACTAATTAATATCAAGAGATAATTAATTGAATCCCTTAAGACGCTTAAAATTCAATTTACTCCGAAAAATTAATGCATTTAAAGTCCTGCAATAAAGGTAAGTTATATGATCAAAATTACTTTATTCGATTCATTCGACCTATTATTCAATATTTAGAAGAGCCCCAATTTGTTGACACAGAAATTGTTG